TGTGTGTGTGCTTGCGATTTTACGTCATTAAAAATTTAAATTTAAAAACGAGGATCCGACAGGTTGAATAAAAAAAAAAAACAAAATTTTTCTGTCACGTGTCACATGTTTTCATGTACAAAAAAAACCTTTGAGACTTTAATAAAAAAAAAAAACAATGATTCGAATTATTATTATTATTATTATTAAACTTCTTAAAAAGTAAACATTACAAATAAATTACCGGTTAAAAAAATGTTCGTGACGTCATAAAAAAAATTTAAAAAAGGGGAAAAAGTACCGAAAATTAAAAATGATATACTCTATATGATAAAATCAAAATGGCGGTTGAAAAACGCAAAAATTTGGAGTTTTTTTGATAGAAAAAAAAACCCCCACAGAAAAAACAAAGAAAGAGAAAGAGAGAAATAAATTTAACAATAAGAATTTTTGGGGAGTGGCCCGCGGGTCGATGGGCGCGGGGCGGGGAGGGGAAGGTCACAGTAAAAAAATTTTTTTTTTTGAAAAAAAAATCTGATAAAATCATAAAAAATTTTTTTACATCTCGTAAAATTTTCATCTTGATCGAAAATACGTAATAAAATATGGCGGAAAAGTTTTTTTTATTTTATGAAATTAATCCGAATCCTTTTTCCGTTCCTTTGTCGCAACAAATTTCCTTTTTAATTTTACCTTTTTTTTTTTTTTTGAAATGAGCGCGAGACGAGTGAGAAAAGGGTTAAAGTTAAATATTCAAGTTTTATTTAAAAAAAAAAAAAATTATTATAAAAAGACTTCTTACCTTTTTCTCCTTCTCCTTTTCCTTCTTTTTCTTCTTCTTCCACGTTCGTTTATAAACCCGATGAAATATTTCTTCAACATTGATAAATAATTCATAAATTTTACTCTTGGTTTAAACAACGTCTCTCCCGTAAAATTGAAACCTAAAAAAAAAAAAAAAATAAAAATAAAATAAAATAAAAACAAAATAGCAGACGACGAAAATAAATGTCGGAGGGATACAACAACAACAACAACAAAAAAAACCGGCAAAAATTTAAATAAAAAGGTAAGAAAAAAAAAAGAGAAAAATGTCGCCAAACGTGACCCTTTAACAATTGGTTACATTTGTAACGGTTTTGCGGGACACATGCACGTGCCCATTTAAGGCACAAAAAAAAAATTTTTTTTTTTTTTAACGAACGGAAAAATGCAAAAAGTATCATTATTATTATTATTATTTTCAAGAAGTAATAAAAAAGTAATTTTTTTTTTTTTTGCGTTCGTTCATTATATATAAAATTTATTTTCGTTCGAGTAAATTACATTTTTCGAGTTTGAAAAAAAAAAAATCATATTTATTTATTTATTTATTAATTGAAAGTGTCACCAGTCATTAGTTTACGTGGCGTTAACCGTAATCGATATGTAATGAGTGAATAATTTTATTATTTCTACGAATCAAACGTGGGAAACCGCGTGATTGATTGTGCAAGACGAGACAGAAATAAAAAAAAAATAAAAAAAATGATTACGACACGTTAGCAAAGCTGGAGGGAAGCAAAACAAAAAGAAAAAAAAATATTTAAAAGAGCAAATGAAAAAAAAATAATTTTTTTTTTGCTTTAAAATAACGACGAATTTAGTTTAAGTTGAAAAAAAAGTACTAAAAATATTAATATTTTGTACTTTTATTAGCAAAAAACGAAAAGAACGCAATAAAAAAATTTTTTGCTACCGTTAAAAATTCGAAAAAGGACTAGAAGCTGGAGAAAAAAATTAAAAAAAAATTTTTTTAATTCCAAATTTTCTCTCCCCCCCCTCTCTCTCTCTCTCTTTCTTTCTTTCTTTTACGTCTCACGCCAATTTTTTTTCATTTTTCCAGACCTCAAAGTTTCGTTTCCCTCCCCCCTTTCTCCCTCTCCCCTCCCCCTCTATCTCCCTCCCTCTCCTTTTTTTTTCGTTAAACTTTTTTCTTTTTCTCCTTCGCGATGATGCTGGAAAAGTCAAATTCGGTAATCAAATTATCTCATCTCTGCTGGAGACGAGTAAAAATAATATTTAAAATAATTTTACCTTTTTCAACTTAAATTACGATCTTTCTTTTTTTCTCGAGTAAAAAAAAAAATTATAATAACAATGATAATGATAAAAATTTTTTTTTTTCACCACACTGCCTTCCCGTTTTCCTCATCTCTTTTCTTTTCCATACCCCCTCATCTTTTCATCCCTCATTTTTTCTTTTTTTCTTTTTGTTCGTTAATTAGGAATTTCCAAAAAAAAAAATTTTCCATTTTCTTTTTTTTTTTTTTTGTCGATTTAATGGATTAAACTACGAATTTTTGGGTGGTTGACAGAATAATACGTTTAACGTATTTATTGAAATTTTTTTTTTGGTTTTTTATCGACTTTTACTTGTGTAATTATTTATTCTTATTTATTAACTAATTTTACTCCTTTTCCGCCTCTCTATCTAGTAAATAACGAAATAATTTTAAACGTTTTAAAAATTATTATTACTATTATTATTTCATAAAATTACGCGGCATTTTTTTTCTTCATTTAATGTGAGAACGTGAACATATTTTTTCAATAAATAAAAACAATCGATTATTAAAATGATTTCTTTCTATTAGTATTAGTAGTTGTTGTAGCCGTTGTTGCCTTTGTTACTGATAGTGTTGTTGTAATTGCTGTTGTTACTGATAATGTTGTTGTTGCTGTTGATAGTGGTGTTGTTGTTGGTGTTGATGAAGGTGTTTTTGATGAAAGTGTTGTTGCTAGTGGTGTTGTTGTAAAAGCTGTTGTTGTTATTGATCGGCGGTCGATATTAGTTGGGTGGTTTTTGAAGTTGTTGTTGTTGTTGGTGGTGATGCTGATGTAGAAATTTTTGTTATTAGTGTTGATATAGAAGTTGATGTTGTTATTAGAGCTGTTGTTGGTGTTGTTGTTGAAGTTGGTGTTGCTGTTGCTGCTGTTGATATTGGTGTTGTTGTCGTTGGTGTTGCTGTCGTTGCTGTTGATAGCGGTGTTGTTGTTAAAATTGTTGTTAGTGATGATGAAAGTGTTGTTGATTGTGGTGTTGTTATTGAAGTCGTTGCTGTTGGATTTATCATAGTTGTTGTTTGTTTTGTATTGTTACAGTTACTTTCTTTTAATCATTAATAAAATTTACGCAATGAGAATTATTATTATTTTTATGAGTAAGTAAAAACAAAACAAAATTTGAAAATTCGGGCATTTTTTAAAAATCAATTCTAAATAATTACGATGCATTTCTATCCGCTCCCTAAACTGTATCAAAATAATAATAATAATAATTTTTTTTCCATCATGACGAAACGGTAAAAATAAAAAGAGCCAAAAATTTTTACCGTGAATTAAAATTTTTTTTGAAAAAAAAAAAAAAATGTCTTTGATGTCCATTTTGTTTTTTTTTTTTTTCTTTTCTTTTTATTAAATCATTCACGCATTACCGTAAAAAATTTTTCTCTCTCTCTCTCTCTCTCTCTCTCTCTTTATTCTTTATCAAAAAAAAAAAATGTAAACGTTTAAACACAAAAAAGTAATAAATTATTTTTTTTTTTAAAAAAATTTATTACCTGTTGGAATAAAAAATATATATATGAATTTCAATATTCAAAGTTGAAGTTAATAATTAAATGTATAATTTTCTTTATTACCGTAATAATTTAATTGCATAGGCGAATGTCATTTACTTTAACTTAATAATATAAACGGTCTGCCATGTTTTTTTTTTTTATTACGTTTTTTTCCCCTACGCACCAATATTGTTTTCAAAAGAACAAAAAAAAGAATAGAAAATTAAAATAAAATAAAAAAATTTTTTTTTCTTTTCTTCTTCTTCTTCTATTTTCCTTTCACATTTTAAAAAAAAAATATTAATAATAATAATAATATATGTATCGTAATGACAAAGAAGATGTTGGGAGATTTCGCTTTAATGTTAAAGTTAAAGGAGGGGGAAGGGGCGGGGGAGGGGAGAAAGTGGATAAGGTAAAATATATGTCATTCGTTAGTTCGAATCGCATAATTGATGACTAATAAAAAACACTTTGGCCGCAATAAAAAAAAAAAAAAGAATAGAAAAAGAAAGAGGAGGAGGAGGAGGAGGAGTAGGAGAAAGAAGAAGAAGAAGACAAAAAGAACAAACGAACCTTTGGTTAATTTGTTTATTACAAAACATAAATCATTTGCGGAAAGAAAAAAAAAAATATATATATATATATAAATACGTACATAAAAAAAAAAATTATGGCGGCCATTGTGGTGTGCTGAACAACAACAACAACAACAACAACGAGACCGTGAAAAATGAAACGGATTTGAAAAAACGAACGAAGAGAAGACATAAAACTCAATCAGGATGTTTAATGAGTTTTCAATAATCAGTAATTACCATATACATGGTGTTCCACCGATTACGATTTAAAAAGAAATAAAAAAAATTTTTTTTTTTTCTCGTGACGCGAAAAATTTTTCTTGAGTTTTTTATAATTTTATTATTATTATTATTATGGTCACTCTTAAACACGACAAGGCTCTTATTTGTCGGGGTTTTTAAGCATTTATCCCAGGTTTCTACCCGATTCCTTAGGGACAAATACTCGAATTTCGGTGGTGCTATTTATAATATTTTCCGAAGAATGTGGGCCGTCCCACATAGTGCGATTTCCTGGATGGTTCTTCTTCTTTTAAGTTCTTCAAAATCTTCTTTAAATTTCCTTTCATTGAATGTGGTGGCATGGCTCCCAGTACTGCTCCCACGATAACCGGAATCGTTTCTGTTTTTATTATCATTATTATTATTAATTTTAATTCAACTTTTTTCAATCATTTAATTTATTAATTTTAATTTAAAATTATTATTATTTTAATTCAACGCCAGATTCCATGCTTGCACTTGTAGGAGTTTTATTTCCAAAATTCTACCCGATTTCTTACGAATAAATGTTTCGATATTAATTTTTTTCTAGACTTTTCCAGGATATTCTCCATTCTTATCCAGACTTTTCCAGTCTTATCCAGAATTTTCTCCAGAATTCTCCAGTTTTCTCCAGGATATTTTTAGACTTCTCTAGGCTTATCCAGACTATTCTAGTTATCCAGTTTTCTCCAGTTTTCTCCAGACTTCTCCAAAATTTTTTTCCAGACTTCTCCAGTCTTATCCAGAGAAACCTCCCTAATCTTTTACACAGCCTTTCTAAACTTTTTTTCTAAACTTTTCCAATTTTATTTTCAATCTTTTCCAGATTTTCTCGGAACTTTTCTTGTTACTATTATTATCATTATTATAATTCTCATCATCAATATTATTATTTTTATATCCATGGGACGAATTGTATTTATAATAGATTTTAAACTCATTCACCGTCGATCGTTTGTCAAAACCGTTACCAATATACCTCGGAGTATAAAAAGGCCTTAAATCTATTTTCAACGGGGAAACCCTCCCCTCTCCAAAAAAAAAAAAAAAAAACAGAGACATTTCACTATGAAATTCGGTTATAAAAATCGATAAAAATAAATCGAACGCCGATCGATCAGTAATATTCAGTCTAATAATACCATTATTATTATTATTATTATTATTAATATTATTATTATTATTGCAATTGTCGTTGTTGTTGCTGTTCTTTTGTTTAATGTTTTCATTTGTTTTTTTTTTTTTTTTTTTTTGTTTCCCAACGAAGAGTCTTCCATAATTATTTGGTAAAATTTGTTTAAAAAAAAAAAATACTATCCTATTCTTTGCCCTCCCCCTTCCCTCCCTATCTCTAAATTTCCGTTTCCGAATCGTTACAAAACTTAAAATTAAAGATAAAAGAACGCGCACGCACGCACGCACACGCAAATTACGTAACAATGTGAAAATCGAAACCGAAAAAAAAAATGTTTCAAATATAATTTTTTTTTTTTTACGGAAAAAAAAAAATAAACATTCCAGACCAATTATATAATTTTAACAACGTGGAAATTCTCCAGTAAATACATTAACCGGAAGTAATTATCCATTTTTTTTTTTTTTACGTCGACCGTATTATATTCTCATCGTGTACTACACACACAAGAAAAATAAAAAATTCAAATATAAATTAAACTTTTATTTTTTTTGTTTGACTGGAACTGTTTTTCAAACTGGAATTTCTTTTTTTTTTTTTTTTTTAATGATACTAAAGTAAAACGTTAAAATTTTAATTTATTGTTTTGATTATTCATCTCTTTCTCAATTATCAGAGTTTTAGATAACGATAAGAGTAAATTTGTTAAGAGAGAGATGATCATGCGCTCCAGCTTTTGACTTTTCTCCAGTTCTTATCAAACTACGAAACAATTTTTTTTTTTTTATAATTAATAATTTCTGACAAAAAAAAGACGCAGAAACAAATAAAGTTTACACGGAAAAAGAAGGAAAATTTTTAAAAAATTCTAACGCCACGTTCGGTAGTCATTATTATCAAAAAAAACAAACAACTCTTATCACTCAAAAAATTATTGTGACGTCATAGGTTGCTATAACAAGACGAAACCTATCCATCAAACATGCACCATCATCACTGATATTCAGTCATTTATTCCTTAGGGATCGGCGGGTATAATAAACCTGGAATAAATGTTGTTCCGACAAACATTACGAGTGAAAATAACAATAATAATAATAATAATAATAATAATAATAAATCATTATCGGATGATATTATCACTAAAAACCATTCGCATACGAATTTTCCTTGATTAATTTTTTTTTTCTCCTTTTCCAATTCCTAAACTTCAATAAATGTAAATTAAATGTTTCGTTTTGATTTAAAGTATTAAAAAAAGAAAAAGGAAAAAAAAGGAAAAAACGGTTTCCGTAGGTATTTGCCAAAGGAAAAAAAAAAAAAATTTTTTTTTTTTTGTGTTAACGATCAAAAAACATCGAAAAAAAAAAAAATTTTATTTCGTGTATTATAATTAGTTTTATTTAATATTGCAGAATATTCGATATGGAAAAATGAAATCATTAAATCATACCTTTGGGGAGAAATTTTTTTTTTTTTTTTTTTTTCATTATTTCAAATTATTATTATTATTGCTTTTTTTTTTCTTCTCATTTTAATTTTTCATTTCTTTCATTTCCTTTCTCTCTCGCTCTCTCGCTTCCCGCCCCCTTTTCCTCTCACTCAATCTTTTCGAGTTTCGTAATTTTTTTTTTTTTTTTTGGATGAAATTAATTTCATTTAAACAAATTATGACAAAAGTAATAATAATAATAATTTTTACGTATCGTCATCGTCATCATCATTATTATTATTTATTTATTCACGTGTTTTTTTTTTTTTTTTTGAAATCGGAGGGAGGTAGAGTATATCCAAAGCGGTCTGTTTCCTTTTATATTTTTTTTTTCCTTTTTTTTCATTCAAAAAGGAAAAAAAATGAAAAAAAATTGACGCTAAAAATAAATTAAAATGGAAATTTAATGAGGCGAAATCCATGAATTGCAAATCGCCATCTTTTTTTTTTTTTTTTTTTTTGCGTCCCTAATTGCCGAACGAATTGAAATTTATGTAATCCAAAGATTTTTTATTTATTTATTTATTTATGTGAAAGTAAAGTAAATACAAAAAAAAAGAGGGAAAAACTTTTTTTTTCTCTTTTCTTTTTTTTTATATTTTGTAAGCTTTTGATTAATTCATTTATGTAAAATAAATAAATAAATAAAAAAAGAAGCTTTCATTAATTAACAAAAACTTAAATAAATAATTAATGAAAATAAAAAATAAAAAAATTAACGAATCTTGTTAATTTTCCTTGATAAGATATCATCCGCCATATTTTTTTTTCTCTCTCTCTCTCTCCCCATCTCTCTCCATCTCTCCCTATCTCTCCCTATCTATCTTTCTCTCCGCCGTTTCCTTTTTTTTTTTTATTAAACGTGACGTTCGGTATTTTATTTATTTTTTTGAAAAAAAAAAAAAAATATTTAAACGTTAATTAATATCCGTGATAACAACATTCGACATGTTTTCCAGTCATCATTCTCCAGTCGTCGTCGTCCTCGTCGTCGTCGTCGCGATCGACGTCACCTTTTACGAAAACGACAAATAATCTTTTACATCGAACAAACAAAAAAAAATCAACATTAGAATCGACTACGGTAACGTATAATCAAAAATGATATGTTTTACTATATAAGAAAAAATAACTCGGGGCAAAATTTCTACTGCCACGACGACCAAAAAAAAAATTATTTATTCCATCGTTCTAATTGCAACAATAAATTATTTTCTTTCTTAATAAGTCTTCCGTATTGTCTATTTTTGTTTGTTGTTGTTGTTGTTGTTCTCGCGTTTGTCCACATCATCATCATCATCATCATCATCATCATCATCGTCGTCGTCGTCTTTGTCATCGTCGTCGTCGTGGTCTTCCTTACGTTTTTTTTTTTACGGCATTAGATTATTTGCTGAAGGCATCGTACGCGTTGTAATTTTTTTTGTCTTTCTCTCTCTCTCTTTCTCTCCATTGGCCATTTTAAAAAAAGAATTTTTATCGTTTTTTTCTCTCAATCGAAAGGATGAAAAGACAAAATCAAAATGGCGAAGAAATGAAAAAACAAAAAGAGAGAGAGAGAGAGTGTGAGAGAGAAGGGATATATTATGTTGTTGTAAATATGGCGGATTCATTTTGTTAATTGAAAATATTTTCTAACGACCGTTGGCCAACATAGTTAATAATTAATTATTCAAAAACAGTAATAATAATGATGATAATAATAATAATAATCGAGACAGATAAAACATTTTTTTTTAATGTTATGAATGATAAAGTTTGTTGTTGTTGTTGTCTGTTATTAAAATTAAAAAGGTTTTTTTCGGTAAACTTGATAAGTAAGTACGGTTAAGACGCAAAAATAAATTTTTATGTTTTAAATAATAATAAAAAAATAAAAAAAAATTTTTTTAATTAATTAGTTTTAAAATAAAAAAGATCACCTGCGGAAGACATTTTTCTTTTTTTTTTGAAGACACACAAGAAGAAGAAGAATAAAACGTCCAAGAATTCCAGCTGGTAAAGTGGGTTGAGCGAGGGTGGTTGTTTAAAGTTGTGGCAAGAATTAACAGTTTTTATAATAATTTTCTGAGGGGTTTTTTTTTTTTTTGAACTGTCACAATTGCAGCAGACATCGATCCCTATCTATGAGATATGTTAAACCACAAGGGATGATTTCTTCTTTTGTAAGATGATGAAGAAAAAACTCAACGGGAGGGTAACAACAACAACAACAAAACAACAACAACAACAATAATAATAATAACGGGGGATTTTTTTTTTTATATGTATACATCACAGCTTGATGCAGGTTTACCGGATTCTTTTTTCTTTCCAATGTCATAATGACATTGTCCTCTTTCAATCGGTTGTTTATGGATCGATTGTAAATACGGTACTGGAAAAAGTCTTTGAATATATGCGTCGGCTTTAAAGGTATTTTTTTTTTTTTTGGGAGGTCTTACGAGGTGGTCAAATCCTCTTCGCTGCGGTCACTTTTACGGTATTTAAAAAAAAAAAAAAAAAATTTTTTTTTTTCTTACTCGAACTCTTTTAAATGATTAGTGAGAGTGAATGAATCGGTTTTAATTTTTATTTTCTTTTTACACGTTTTTTTTTTTTTACATAATGGATTACTACGTCGGATTAAGTTAAACGACCGATTTACTTATGCCATCGTGACCGCGAGTTGTCTTCGGTTGTTAATTCATACTTTAAAAAAAAATACCATTGAAAACCTTTTTTTTTCCTTTCCGTTGTTAATTCTCTCGTAAAAAAAAAAAAAAAGTTCTCATGAGTTAGAAAGAGTCAAAAAACTCTCTCTCTCTCTCACTCTTTAACAACGCGTAAAAAGAAAAAAAAATTATAATTTTTTTTGTATTTAATATGAAATTAAAATGATCAAAAATGAAAAAAAGATGATGTTGGTATTTCGACAAAAGAATTATTTAGTTTAACGTCTGACAAGAAAATTTTTTTTTTTTTTTTGACGAAATCACCGGTAAAGAATGAATCGGTAAAAAAAAAAAGAAATCGCCGGTAAAAGTTCGTGCGTGCGTGTGCGTGTGCGTGTGCGTGTGAAGATGAAACACCACCGAAAAGTTTTTTTTTTTTTTTTACTTTTTTGTTTCCATTGTGTGCCCAAGTTTACAAAAAAATTTTTTTTTTTTTTGTATCGATTTTCATTGATGTGTGTGTATGCGTGTGGTCGACCTTTTCAAACGATTTCCGCCAAAACGTAAAAAAAAATAATAATAATAATAAAAATTCTTTTAAAAGTTTTTTATTAAAACTAAATT